CAGTCATGAAATGAATTTGTGGCGTTTTCATAGAGTAATTATTGGTAAAAATCAATTGGATTAACAACTTATAATATATAGAAATGCCAGTACGTTTTGGTAACACTACGTTCCAACAATGGTTTTTATGTCATGTTGCTCAGCAACAAAAATGTAACCTAATATTGTTGTTAGTCTAGGTATTGAAAGTATAAAATGAAATGTATAGACATCAAAACTGGAAAAATATTTCTTGATTTCTTAATTTATAGCCTCCGTTGATTAAAGAGGCTTGTTTTTTATTAAAAACGTTGGTGATGTAACAAAAAATAGCTTAATTCGAGAACGATTTATGTTTAAAATTGAATCGAAATTTTTACATTAGTGATCCATTTTATGCACTTGAGTCTATGCTAGGTGATCCTACACTACGTCTTTATTTAAGGCTTATTATACCAACACTCACTACACTCATAAGGTTTCATAGAAACCCCCTCACGGCTCTTTTCACCCCCGTCACTAAAATCGTAATTGGCAGACATAATTGACCTATTCTATCGGGATAAATACAATTTGGTTTTGATGGTTCCTCCTATTTCGAGAAATCAAGCCTGATGTGACGTGACACACACTGGCTTTTATATAGATTAGATGTGTATTTAACATAGTGGCAGTGTCAAAGTAGATCTTACATATTTTACATATTCAGATAGTTGTTATTCATAGTTTAGAGTATTTTACATATTATTAATTACTATTAAAAATACATACAGTTGACACATTCCATGACATGCACACGCAAACGTAATCACTATCCAATCTCTAATTTAAATACGTTGTTTACTCACTGTATATTGTTCATTTAAATACAAAAACCTTCTTTACCCTTATAGCCTGTGTACTTGAGATTGATAGCACCAGTGATCGAAACGTAACGGTCTAAATAAATATTCTTTGTCAAATCCTACTTTAAAAGCCGTAACTTAAGAATACTTATTAACAGCAAAGGAACTCAAATAAAACTACATTTCTTTGTGTATCATGTATTTATTATAATTTCTAGTCCCGAACTTTAAAAGTTTATTCGGGATTTTCGAGTTCGGACCTCAGTGTTTACAAGAAAGACATGGGTGTAAAATATTTCCCTCTTTAAACCTAATTAACGGTTTAAAAATGAAAGAAATTTCTAACGTAAGATAGGTTCAAAAATCACCTTTTGGGCTAACTCTACAATGTATTCATTCAATTCAAGAAAAGCTTACATTTATAAAGTACATGTTAATTCAGTTAAGTCAATAGTTTATTTCGTAAATGTTGTTCCCACAATTAAAAACCAACTCACAAAACGTAAATAAGTTAAGTTATCCGGATTTGACAGAAAACGGTAGAAAAGTAAGAATTGGTACGTAATGTGGTAATGCATACTAAACAGCGTTTAGTAAGTTGTGAAAAAATATGTTTTTCTTTTTTTGAATACGAAATGCAATAACTGTGATTTAACACGCTTCGTTGTTAACAAGTTTACTACAAAATCGTTTAGATTTGTAGATTTTAGCAATTATTATTTTTTATAGGTAAGCCGCGTCCATCATTGACGTGGTGGCGAGAATATACCATCTTAGATGATGATTACAGTTTCACACCTGAAGATGTAGTGAAAAATGATCTAAAAATCTCAGAGTTAAAACGTCACGACCTGTTAACAGTTTTTACATGTCAAGCTTCAAACAACAACATCACAGTTCCGTCGGCAAGTGCAGTGACTCTTGACCTAAACTGTGAGTACTTCAAATGACTCATTTTTTCAAAGCATGTTGAACCTCATTAAATTTTTTTCTCATACCCGACAGCTTAATTGAAATTTATCTGTTTTTGTTAATGATATTGTTTTGTTTTTATAGTAAAACCAGTGGAGGTTAAAATTCACCCTTATCAACGACCCCTACCGGCTGATAAAGAGGTAGATTTGACTTGTTCCTCTAATGGTTCTCGACCAGCAGCAAAAATTACATGGTGGAAAGGCGATAAACAGATGCAACATACTCGAGAAAGCGTGAATCGCGCGGGAGTAAGCACAAGTATATTGACTTTTATGCCATCTGTTGAAGACAACGGGAAACAATTAAGCTGTAAAACCGAAAATCCACATATTACTAATAGCGCCATAGAAGACAGTTGGAAACTGGAAATTTATTGTAAGTCGTTATACAAGAGGATATTCGTTTATTTAAATGTAACCGTAGTATCCTACTTAAAAATTGTTCTAAAGTTATTCTACTTTTATTTTATAAAATATCTCATTCGCTCCTGAATGAAAATTGGTACAAAACCCGTAACAAAACAGAAACATAGAAAGGGCTGAAACCTGAACTAAATATAACCTGACAAAAAAAACATTTCTTAAGGTAGATAATACACAAAGAAAACACATAATAGTTCAATACTGAAAAATACCAGATAATATAAATATATTTGCACAAATATCAAAACTGAATAGAGAATTTCAATTTATCAGATCAAAGGAACAGAGAAGTAGAACTTGTTTTTGTGATGCTTTCAGCAATAACATGGAATTAGAAAAGAAATGAAGGAAACTTACAATTTTTTTCTTTTTTTGTGCATTCACTAATCTTTTAGTTATTTGCAGTTTTCTAACTCACAAGGCTTTGTTGTTTTTCCCTCCCCTTTTGTTGAATGGATTACAAGGCATTGGATTAGGCAGTTCAGGAGTTAATTATCTTATTATTGACAATATCTCCTTTATTCATGTTCTGATAAAGTGTTCTTTCGCAGATAACTGAATTAGTATATTTCTTTATTGAATTTCGCACAAAGCTATTCAAGGACTCTCTGTACTCGCCGTCCCTAATTATAAAGTGATAGACTAAAGAGAAGGTATGTAGGCAATACCATCCATTGCTAATTTCTTACCAATGAAGAGTAAGATTAACCGTCACGTTATAACGCTCCCACGACTGAAAGGGCGAGCATGTTGGATAACAGGATTCGAACACGCGAACCAAAAACTGCGAAACGAGCGTCTCAACAACCAGGCCATGCTAGGCCACACGGTGTACATCTCAATCATTTGATATTCTGGTGTTATTTTTCTCGTATTTGATATTACAGTCTTATTGTCTATTTTATCTCTAATCTTCCTATATACTTTAATATCAGAATTCTAAAATCTTTCGAGACTGTAAATCTTATTTTTATTTTCAACTTGAACAACATGTTATGCAACACTTGGACTTAACGGCTAAGTTAGTGACCCCTAAAGTTCAGACATATTCATCACTAATTTAATTTTTGTTATAAATCTCCACCCCTGAACTAAAAGTGCGAAGCGTGTCAGCAACATACAGCTTCTAACCATGGGCATTTCGATCCGCAGGTTGACAAACTAACCACTAGGGTACACCTCTCCAATAAATCTACAAATTTGCATTTTATTGTATTCGTTTAACTTACAGCAAGTTCATTTTTTTATCATAATGGTGTTTTACGATTGTGCTGTTCTTGCACTTCGCTTTCCCTTTTTATGTTCATCAACTTTATTTATATTGTACTTAATCCTATCAAGAATTGACTCACACTAATGTATACATAACAAATTGCTGTTTATTATCAATGACACATAGATTTAGAAATAAGTTTTCTTTCTTACATGTAGCATATTATTTTCTTTCTTCGCCTCTTTCGATTAATTCCTTCTCTTTCACATCTCTCTGTCTTCTTTTTTCTCTCCTCAATTTTCGTTGAACTCCTTTTTTTTATATTCCTTTCTCAACCCGACGCTAAATCGGCATCTTTCTTTCTGATCTTATACCTTTTTCCCGTATATAGGATTGTAATCTTTCATAACCATAAGGGACATTGTAGTATCCATACTGGCTGAACTTATAAATGCGGTCGCTATACCCGCTCATTCCAATCCTTTTCTGATGACTTAGAGTATTTTAATCCACTAATTCCTTGGAGACTGACCAAATGTCGTCCGCTCTTTTACACTGTCTCAACATCAGTTTATTTTCTTTACACCTAACTTCATAACACATCTGGCCCTTTTTCCTGAATATACCCAACAATGTTGATTATATTTAATCTCGGTTGTGTTTCCTTCTAATCTCGACGTTGTCCCAGACTCCGAAATTCTAGCGTATCATCAAACTCTTCTTTAAATTCTTCCACCACGCACAGTTTTTACGTAGAACTGATAATTTCATTGTCTTTACTTATATCATATTACAATACATAGTCTTAGTGTAGATATTTTATAAAGCTCACAGTCTTATATATATATATATATATATATACCAATGTAAAATTTCAAGAAGTTCACAGTTTTTTTAAGTATCCATGCATAACTAATTAGGAATGGCTAAGCTTTCTCACCTGTTAGTGATTTTCGACTCAAAGACTCCACTGGATATTCCATATCATCCTCACCTATTTGACTCAGCACTACCCCTTTAGCTGTATCAGACACACCAATTTAGTGGTGACTAATGTCTCCCTATATCGAGGTTAAATTAGCCTTTTACACTGTGCCTCTTTTAATTTCCTAAAAGCCATCTCAATGGCGTCCTACCACACATGTTTTGGTTCTTATTTATGTGTTAATACTGTGAGTGTTGCTGCTATTGCCACAAACCAGGATATAAACTTCCTATGATAACCTACTATCCCAGGAAAAGATGAGAATTCTTTATTTGTTATCTTCAATAACTTTTACCTTTGCCTTTTAACTTTTACCTTTGCCTCTACAGGAACGATCAACCCACCGTGTGACCTAGATACTTTATACCAGGGGTCGGCAACCTGTAGCTCTGAGGTATTACAATTGTCGTGAAGAAAAGTTGTCAATCTTTTAGGTACAAAGGGTGTTGAAAGTTCAATCTCGTTAGACCCTTAGATCATATTGCGGCTCTACAAATGTTTTTGAAGGGTTGGCGACCCCTGCTCTATACAATCTACCCCAAATAGATCGGGTCTCTTCTTTTGGGTTTCTTTTATCTATAGAGGCTACTTTATCACGTGTTTAACTAACCAGGTCTGTTCTGTCCTATCATCAAACACACTCGCTTTATCTCCCACAATCTCACGCACTTCCTCCTGTTGCTTAGGAGTTAATCTTTCAAACCTTTTAACACGCCCTGTCTACTCATAAGGATCTAAGATGGTTTTCTGTTCACTCTCGTTATTACTAACCTCTAAACAGGTCATCACACAAGTTACAGGTGTGACTTTAGTGTACCATGACTTTAGCATATTTACATGATACATTCATCCCACTATTTCATCATCACCTACATCTACCTCATATGTCTCTTTATAGAGAAAAGACCTAGCCACCTTGCTGCTAAACAGTGTTCGAGTATTGGGTCCAGTACCGCAAATAACTGGTTCACCTTAAGTCTCCATTCTCTAACATTCTTTTCATATCAAAGCTTTTGTTTATCTCGCCTCTTCTGAGTAGCTCTAGCCTCTAACTTTTACCTTTTGCTAACCTTTGCCTCAGGCTGGTCACATATGCTAACACGTTTCGTGAATCAGTTTTGTCTCTGGACCAACTTATTTTAAGTAAGTCTAATAGACCCTTAACATCTCCACCATATAGTAGCCCAAAGGATAAAAAAAAATCCTGCTTTAGCTTGGAAGTCTTCTCAAAAGGATTATCCTATACAATTACTCTTAGCATAGCCTTAATTGTCCCATTTACTCTCTGAGACATCCAATTTGTTAAGGGTCTATAAGAACTAACTTGTTTCATAATTCAATAATTCTTGCATTATTTTCAAATGAAAACTGCTACCTAAATATAATAAGAATTATTCAGGAAACTCGTGAGAATATTACTATCAGCTCGAGCGCTATTTTATCTGCTTCTTTATAATCTAGTGCTATTGCTTCTACATGTCTAAATTTTCGCAAAGTAATTTCTCTCCTTATTAATAAAATCACTATGCGGAAAGGTCCTCCTTTAATTTCTCGGGGAGCGCTGATCCAGTTTTAAATGTTAGTGGTAAGTAGTCCTTCTACCTTGATTTTCACCTACTTTCACCCACTGTTTCCTCGTTTCTACATATTCTGTCTCACATGCGTTTGCTTGCTTTCTATTTTTAAACCAACAATAGTAACATACAACATCAAATCTACAACCTTGTCAGTGTCTCCAGTATAGTTAGATCCTTTGATCCATTTAACTAACTCATGCAGTTTTGTCCTATATTTTTTAATGTTTCATTTATCACTTGTTTCTGTTTTTTTAACTTCCTGTGTTAAGTCTCCGAGCTTAACTCATAAGTCTTTAAAATAGGCTCATTTCGCTGCATCATACTTTAATTAGTCTGCTCTCCCAATCTTGTTGTATGCTGCGAACGTCTTTTCAGGTAATGCAGGAAGTAGTTTCCTCATCATATCTTGTGACTGCCATTCTTCGTGAACACCACTCGTAGTTACCGTATATTCACTAAGCTCAAGGTTAGAAAAATAATTTATTTTAATTCCCAGTTCAATTAAAAATTCACGTATATCATCTTTTCTTTTCAATCGCTACTACATGTTATACCCAATTTTCTGCATGTCTTTACCAAATGACTTTTTATCCATAATAACAAATTCTCATTCGTGTTGGTGTTAATTCTCTACTCTTAAACAATGAACCACACTATTTATAATTAGTAAGAATTAACTGAACCACTGTCAAAAAACAAAAACAAAAAGAACTTACTCTCTTTCCTGACTTCTTCATCCAATTGGCTTTCCTCCATGACTTTTGTTTATGTGGATCCAACTTCAAACTCTTCTTTTGTTGTTGGATTTTGATTGCTAACAAACTGTTGAATCCCATTTTTGTCACCATTTTGTTACGATCATGCTATACTTGCATTTCGCTTCACCTTCTTATGTTCATTAATTGTATTTAGGTTGTACTAATTCCTATTAGGAATTGACTCATATCAATGTAAACATAACAAATTTCTGTATATTACTAGTAATCAATAACACATAGATTTATAAATAGATTTTATTTCTTACTTGTAGCATATTATTTTCTTTCTTCGCCTCTATCGTTTCATTCGTTCTCTTTCACATCTAATGGTCTTCTTTTTTTCTCCCCTATCTTTCTTTTATATTCCTTTCTCAAACCTACGCCGAACAATTTTTTTCTTTTTTACCTTGCATCTGTTTCCAATATATCGTATCACACATTTCATATCCATAGGGAATCTTTTAGTTGTGTACCAGATTAAAGTATTGTAATTCCTAAGAAACTGAAAAAGGCTGGCTGGCGCTTTTTCACACTCTCTCATCTTCAAGTAATGTTATCTTACATCTATCTTCATAACATGGTGTTCGACAATATTTGATCTTCTCTTTGATACCATATTGACAGCCAGAATCCAAAATAACAAATTACGAATAATATAGAGTTAGGTATATTTTATTGGCATATCCTAATATGATATTTGTTTATTATATTAGACTGGATTTCGTAAAGTCACGTTATTTTATTATATATTCACTACCCAAGGTACTGCTTGAATTTATCTGTATCTGAATACACGTTTTTTGTTATTATTTATATACAGTTTATAATACTCTTCTAAATTTCAATATATTTTCCCTTAAGTATGTTATTGCCACCTTTTATTTGAATAATTTAATGTAATAAGGATATAACTTTGATAAATTATTTCGAAACTAGACCCAGTTATTCTATCTACATGTTTCTGTGTACAGTTCCTCCTCAAGTCACTCTTCACCTAAGGAATAATCCTACATCAAGCGAAATTCAGGAAGGAAATGATGTTTATTTAGATTGCAACATACAGGCGAATCCTTGGGTTCATTCTATAAGTTGGCAGTTTGAAGAGCGAGAGTTGAAGAAGAATTTTTCCGCTGGAATTAACATCAGTAACCAGACGTTAGTCGTCCAGCGTGTTCAACTATCTCATCGGGGCCATTTTACCTGTTCAGCAAGTAACACCGAGGGACTAGGCATAAGCAACAAAATTTTTATTAACGTAAAATGTACGTCAATACTTTAATTTTATTACAATTTATAACCGAAAAAATTATGGTGCATTGTGTTTAAAGTCATAATAAAAGCATGACAGATTCCAGACATGATTAAACTTAATTTTTTCGAACAGTTTGATACCCAAAATGACATTATTAAATTAAGAAATGTAACGACAGAATGTTGTAAAAAATTGAAAAGCACTGCTACTGCCAATTCAAAATATATACATTCTGCTTTGTAGTGAAAAATGGCAACAACAGAAGTAGAATTTGGATCACCCAAAGATAATTTAATGAGTGGTTATCGTTTATTGGCTGAATTGTAAAATTGTAAAAGCAAATAATTGAGAACAATATGCTTATGTTCTAACAAATTAAACACAAGTAAATTTGAGTTTAAAATATTCAACATATCCTCTGAAAATCCAATATTTGGTTCTACCATTTTTGTTTCTGGTTTCCTCTTAGATGCTCCTCAGTGTCAAGCAGGACAGAAAACGGCCTATGGAGTTGCCGTATACGAGAAAGTCGGCGTAACGTGTAGCCTAGATGCTGATCCTGATGACGTCACTTTCAGCTGGTTGTTCAATAGTTCTACCAAACAGTCTAGTCAAATACAGTACAGCAGTGATAAGACGCAGAGTGTGGCCACCTACACACCAGAGACGGAGGACGATTATGGGACATTACTCTGTTGGGGTACTAATGACATTGGTATTCAGCGAAAACCATGTGTTTTCACTATAGTGCCTGCTGGTAACCTATAAATTTATCCTTCCTTTCTTTTATTTGCGTATTAAAATCTTTGACGGTTTAGCTGTCATATCATAATTAGAAGCATTATTATTTCGAAGTATTTAATTTTTTTTATAAACGTTATGAAGACCTTGGTAAGAAAGTGTTCGAGAATGATGAAACAAACGTTTAATGAATGTGGGAATGATCGAATTTTCTAATGTGTCCAGGAATGATCAAACAATAATGGATGAATGTGGGAATGATCGAATTTTCTAATGTGTCCAGGAATGATCAAACGATAATAGATGAATGTGGGAATGATCGAATTTTCTAATGTGTCCAGGAATGATCAAACAATAATGGCTGAATGTGGGAATGATCGAATTTTCTAATGTGTCCAGGAATGATCAAACGATAATGGATGAATGTGGGAATGATCGAATTTTCTAATGTGTCCAGGAATGATCAAACAATGATGGATGAATGTGGGAATGATTAAACACAAATGATTAATGAATGTAAGAATGGTTAAAAAAATGTTTAATGAATGTGTGAATGGTCAAACAGGAAGGTAAATAATTAAATCGGGGGCCCGAATATTATTGTACCCCGCCAATATTCTCCTGACAATAATTCTGTATTTAGGTTTTTTTCTCTGTAGTCGGCATGTACAAAGCCAATTGTCGATAAATGTGCCTTATCAAATATGAAAAACGAAGCAAAGGTATGTGAAAATGCCGCTTTTATTACACAACAAACAAATGAATCTCTATTTTATATGTTTTTGTATATACAATACAGTGCTTGATATTATATGAAACTGTTAGATAATATTTTAAACGTTTATATTGATTGTCAGACAATATTTATTTGTTTTCGACGGCCTTCTCTCCCAGTGTTTTTATACGCTCGGAAGTGCCTGTTTTATAAATGTAGTAATGACCAAATACAAATGTTTAATGAATATAGGAATGACCAAATTCTAATATTTAATGAATGTTGGAATGACCAAACGCTAATATTTAATGAATATCACGAAAATAGCGGAAATAGTCGGTACGAAACAATACGTAAAAACAGTAAATTGTGGGTACACTACTGTTCTTTTTGTCTTAGAGGAGACGAAGTAAGTAACTAGTATATATGTGTCTGTTAGGTGATTTTATAGTCCATTCTTTTCTCAAAGTTAGTTTCATTAATAGTATTAGTTTCAATGTTTAATGTATCTAAGTTTATCAATTTATTTGTTTTTTTCACTTATAAATATTATTTTGCATTATATATGAATTAAGAACTAATCTAAATTTCCTAAACTTCTCGAACTTTGTGAGATATTATTAGGATTATGACTGAAAATGTAGATAACAGCAAGGATACTCAACTGACGAATCAATACATTCTGATTTCTACACGTTTTAATTTCATGACATTATATATTCTTAGCTGCATCATTTAGTGTGTTCTAGTTCTGATCTTTGTAGCAAGCTGATTTGATCAGAGGTTATTGATAATTGGTGAAACATGACTACCCCTCTGTTATATTTATAATATTTCAGCGTTACTGTGTGCTTGCTATTTTTACCTTAGATTTGTACTGTGTATTTCCTAGAATTCTTGGCATAACATTTCCCTACATCATTTATCATAAAGTGGGGCTACGTTCCTTTATTTCGTGTTTTTTTAAACATCCCTCTGTCACGATACATACAAGGTTTTAATGTAAGTAAACACAATCGATTAGGATAGGTTAATAGTTAAAAGCTGGTGAAGTATTTAGTTACCAGAAAAAGGACAACCTACTTATGTTGAAAATGCTATCATATACAAAAATAGAAAAACACAGAAAAGCTCGTAATCCTTGCTTATTAAGTTCACGTGTATTCACACTCTTACACGGACACAAAAAACAAGAACATCTCTGTCATCTCAATTCAGCAAGGTTTAAAATTACCGCCAACAGCGTTAAAATTGCGGAAAAAATTTATGTATCATTAAAGTACAGGTACTGAGTAACTAACGATGTTATTTTTTAACATTCAATTAACTTTTTTGTTGTTGCTGAACTTAAAAGTTGTTTGCGTTATTCATTAGCAAAAAGCTTCAATTTGTTTGATAATGGTGTCCAAGAATTTTAAATATCCAACAATGTAAGAATGAAATTCGAAAAATTATTATCGAAGATTGGTGGATTTTTGTAATGAAGCTTTTGTGCAAGTAAAGGGAATTTCTGAGCATTGGAGTTAAGCCTTGAGACAAGAGTCGACTATCAGGTTTACTTCATTAGGTTTATTAAAGTGGCAGTCGCTCTCTTGTTGCTTTTCTAATTTTATTATATGAGTAAGCTCAATACCCATTCTCAATACATACATTTAATGCAGTTTCGTGTAGTCGTTTGCAAAATGATATTCTAATTCATTACTTACATTCAAAATCAACGATCTTATACCTCACCCTGTATCTCAACGTCAACGAACTTATCCTATACCTCACCCTATCTTTCAAAGTCAACGATGTTATACCTCACCCTGTATCTTAACGTCAACGAACTTATCCTATACCTCACCCGATCTTTCAAAGTCAACGATGTTATACCTCACCCTGTATCTCAACGTCAACGAACTTATCCTATACCTCACCCTATCTTTCAAAGTCAACGATGTTATACCTCACCCTGTATTTCAACGTCAACGATCTTATACCTCACCCTGTATTTTGCAGACACGAAAACACACTTACTAGTTGATAGATTACCTGTAACCAATATACACCTGAGCACAAGGTTCTAAACGAAAACGATTGGAAGCAGTATAAAAAAAAGAGAAAAATATCGACCTTTACAAAACAAAACTAAACTTATAAGAGGTATTTCGAACCGCAGCTCCAAGTCAAGCCTTTTGCCTGTCTTCTGCACTTTCTGAACAGTGAATTACTACAGACTTATGGACAGAAATGTAAAAAAAAAAAATGAAGATGTTAATATTAATGATACTTCACGGCCTTCCAAATATGTAGTTAGAGCAAGCTTCGATATGATAAAGAGTAATGAGGGTAAGTAAACATTAATTTCCATTAGTTCAGAAATTAATTAACACGTGGCAAAAACTTTCAGAATGTGAATCATAATTTTTGTAGCGTAAATGTATTTATTACTCGTAAAATATATATATATATATATATATAAGTAACATTCCAATATTCTGCAACTGTTCATTAAGATTACATTACTATACAGTCTAAATTTCAGAAGTGAAAGATATAAAATATATATTTATATTTTATCACAAACATTTAGCAATTTGACTCGCTACTGTACTATATCTGAACTATTCAAATAAATTTTCTAGTTCATTAACAATGTACTAAGTTCAATGAAGAGTAGTAACTCAGAACAAATATTAAATTTCTATAATTTTTATGTTAATTAGTACTAACAACATTAAACACTCAAAAGCTATAGTTCTATATGTTTGGTATCATCTTCAGATTTAATTGCTTTCTTCGAGCTACCATGATAATTCACATGCTGTAACAAAAAGCTACCCAACAATTACTTTCACATACAACAAAATGAATATATTAATACGAAAAGGAAACATAGGTAAACATAGTTACATCATCAATAGAGTCGGTTTATTGTAGGAATAACTGATAGCCACAACATCATCCTAGCCAAATTGTGGAATATCTGATAAACGTACAGTTATACAAACAGCATCTTAGCTATATCGTGGAATATCTGATAAATATACAGTTATACAAACAGGATCTTAGCAGTATCATGGAATATCTGATAAACATGCAGTTATACAAACAGCATCTTAGCTATATCGTGGAATAACTGATAAATATACAGTTATATAAGCAGCATCTTAGCTATATCGTGGATTATCTGATAAATATACAGTTATATAAGCAGCATCTTAGCTATATCGTGGAATATCTGATAAATTTACAGTTATATAAGCAGCATCTTAGCTATATCGTGGAATAACTGATAAATATACAGTTATATAAGCAGCATCTTAGCTATATCGTGGAATAACTGATAAATATACAGTTATATAAGCAACATCTTAGCTATATCGTGGATTATCTGATAAATAATCAGTTATATAAGCAGCATCTTAGCTATATCATGGAATATCTGATAAACGTACAGTTATACAAACAGCATCTTAACTATATCGTGGATTAACGGATAAATATACAGTTATATAAGCAGCATCTTAGCTATATCATGGAATAACTGATAAATATACAGTTATATAAGCTACATCTTAATTATATTGTGGAATAAATAACTGATAACCGGTTATATAAATTGTATCTTGGGAGCAACTAGTGCTGAGCTATAGATATTATGCTTCATAGAATTATAGCACAAAATTATCAATATTCAAAACCATTTATTATAGAAGATATAGAAGCTATGTAGAAACGTTTGCAATTAGAATTTAAAATAATTTTGTATCTCACACTTTAAATATTTAGGCTTTATATAATAAAATGTTAAGATACAGAGAGTAGATTAGCCTACAAACCTCCTTCATTTCTAAGTAAAGATTGTGTTAGTTGAAAATAAAAACCATTAATCGAAGTTAAAGAGAAATTGATGTTTTACATTGTTATGTTACAATAAAGTTATCAGCTGTAAAAACTAAGCTCCTACTGTGTGGTTTGAATTTCAGCTCTGTTTGTGTGGGATATTATCCCAATAGTGCATGATCTGTCTCATTCACATATAGCGTGTTCATTCACTCGTGATATAGCAGCTTAGTTTCACACTTGAGATTAGGTAAAGGATATATATATATATATATCTACTATGATGGTTTTTTAGTTTGTTCATTTAAGACTAAAGCTCATTAGGCTATCTGTTGTGTGTTTGTTTGTTTAAGGCCAAAGCTCATTGGGCTATCTGCTGTGTTCACCGCAGGGAATCGAACACCGGATTTTAACGTTGTAAGTTCGTAGACTTACCGCTGTCCCACCGGGGATGTTTTGTTTAAGTGCCAGCA